CCGCCGCACGGGCCGGCGGCCCCCGCCCCCGCCTCTAGGCCACTCGGCGGGCGCGCACGTGGCCCGGGCGCTGCGGGACGTGCGCAGGGCAGACGGCGCCCGGGGCTGTTCCGAACCCACCGAACCGCGCAGAGCTGCCTCGGGGTGGGGAAAGGGAGCCCGGCGGAGCATGAGGGTAAATAGAACGAGAAGGGGCCAGGAGTTGGAGAGGTGCCTGGAAATCGTGTTCGTCATCAACACGGTGTTAAACAACCAAAATATTCTCCTTTTCTGTAAAGTTAATCGTGGCAGGTTCTGTGTGGCTTCATCTTATTTTCCTTTGTTAAATAGTCGTTGACGCAGTTTTGGCTTTGGAGAGCTCCAAAACCCACAGCCGTAAAAAGTTTACTGCCTTCACTTCGTATTTACCAAATTTACATAGTTACATAACTGTTTTGTCCCCACGTGGTCAGATCCTCAGGAGAGATTGCGCTTTCCTTGTTACATGCGTACCTTTTTCTTGCTCTTAAAACGTTAGGTTGTTCCATACACCCGCTTTCGAAATTTGTAGTGAACCAAATTGCTTGTGTTGGCTGGTCAATCACATTCTTTTCCACATAGTAAAAACTGAATTTAGATCAAAAAGTTGTAGACTCAAGAGAAAGGCCCAGGTAATATTGAGTAGCAACTCCATAGAATCAAGGCTTTGGATTAGAATTTTTTCTGCTATCAGGATACCTTGTCTCTCTAAACTGGTAGAATCGACCGACCATACTTACTCTTCTACTTCCATCTTGTATATCATTGGTAGATTAATTTTTCTAAAATGCCACTGTATGTTTTTGTCTGATTGTTTTTGCCATATTTGTGTCCTCACCACAGAGAGAGACAGGGAAAGTGAGAAATCACCCCCAGGGGAGGATGGCCACTCCACCATCCCCTCTCCATTCTCAGAACTCTGGATTTTTGGCATGCCCAGCAGGAGCCTGCCCTTCCCCATCCTGTGGAAGTCCAGCCCCTTAACCACTACACCACCTGCTGGCCCCTATACGTTTTCTTTAAGCTTTACCATTTAACAAAATAATGTAAGCATCTATTAAAAAGGGGAAAGCCTCCTTAAGGAGTCTGGACATGATGATGGTAAAAGGATGACTGTAAATTAGGTGCCCTACCTTAAAGGACCACCCTAAAACGGGTATAGTTTGTTGAATGGTTACCTCCACTCTCAGGTGATAGGACCCCTGCCCAAGTTTCACCTACCTTTTTTTTTTTGCCTTTTTTTTTTTTAAAAAGAATTGTTTATTTACAGACCAGCAGATGGTATAATGGTTACATCCTGGACTCCCACATGGTAGACTGTGGTTCAAATCCCAGAACTGGTGGCTTGAAACTCACACCAGGCACATGTGCATGTGTGCCCAAAAACCCAAGAGGAGAATGGAGGAGCAGGGATTGCAATGTAGTCATCCCTCCTGGGGGTGATTTCTCAATTTCTGACTCTCTGTTTCTCACTCTTTGGCGAGCACACGTGCCCTATAGCAAAAATCTCTCTCCAAAAAAAATAGAATTGTTTATTTAATTTTTATTATTTTTGAAAAAGAATTATTTATTTCAAATTTACAATAGGGTACATGCGCTCACCAGAGAGAGAGAGAGAGAGAAAGAGAGAAAGTGAAAAAGCAAGACGCCAGGTCCAGGAGTTGAACCATGGTCAACTATGTGAGAGTCCAGCCCCTTAACCACCACACCACCTGCTGGCCCCAACTTCCTATCATTTTTGTTTAATGGTCACTTTCACTAGATGGTTTGATGTGCCTTCTGCCCGATTCCTTCTTCCTCAGCTGCAGCGCGCACACACTGTACGCTGCCCAGTAGTGAGAACCCACACCCAGATCTCCCCTGCCCCAGTCTTTGTGGAGTTCTGCCGCATGCTCTCACTACCTGGTCCTCATTCACCTGTTGCCTGCCCCTTTCTTCTAGTTAAATTTTAATCATTCCGCAGATCTCAACCTAATTGGTTTTTTTCCTAGGCAGGTTAGGTGGCGCTGCTGTGAACACGTGATCCTAAAGTCTGTCTTTGTTGTGTTATGTTTATTATGAAGTCTTACTTACTATCTGCCTTCCTCAGGCTATCCCTTACAAGCAGGAACTAGGTCTCTTACTGCTGTGTCCTAAGTCTCTGGCACACGGATACACTCAAACAGCGCTAATACTCCGAATGAATCAGTAGGTCTGAGATCATGAGTGATTTCTCTCTGGAAATTTCCTTTTTTTTTTTTTTTTAGAATAATTTATTATTTTTTTTGTTATTATTGTTTTTAAATTTGCCCAGAGAGAAAGGGTAAGTGATGAAGTAAGCTGCCAGGTCCAGGACTTGAACCCAGATCGGCTATGTGGGAGTCCAGCATCTTAACCGCCCCACCACCTGCTGTCCCCTCTCTTTGGAAATTCTATGTCCTTAAACTTCTATTATCTTTGATCTTCATCTAAATTGTTCTTCCTAATGATCAGGATCAGTTTCCCTAAAGGCTTTGTGACCAGCATCAAAATTCGATTCCTCTAGGTTCCTTTTTGCTGTGTCACAACTGTTAGTGAAGAGAGAGGGTTAATTGAGTGAGGGGCAGGGCAAAATTAAGAAATAACCGGGCAGGGGTGCAGTGGAGGTACTACCACATATAGTAACTCGAAATTAAGAAACATCTGAATGAACTATCATTTTGCTGGCCATAGAAACAAAAGTCAGGAGATGGACTGTCTTTTCCCCCTACAGGCTAGCTTAATATATTGTGAGTGTGTATATGAAAATAGGAGAATAGTTACATTGATTAATTTTCATTCTTTTGTACTTCTCCTGTGAAAGAATCAGATGGATAGTGAAAAGAGCACATGATTTAATATTAGAAGATTTAGAATTTTGTGATTCCTCCATTTCCTAACTGTATCACTCCAACCTTTTTTGAGTCTTAATTTCCTAATCTCTGTATCATCTATAAAGATGACTTGATTTTTTTTGGAGAGGTTTTTGCTATAGGACATGTGTGCTCGCCAGAAAGACAGAGAGAGACAGAAAGCAAGAAATCACCCCCAGGGAGATGGTCACGCTGCAATCCCTTCTCCTCCATTCTCCTTTCGGGATCTTGGGTATGCACACGCACACACACACACGCCCGGCGTGAGTTTAAGCCACTGGATCCGGAACTTGAACCATGGGCAACTACATGGGAGTCTGACAACATAGCCATTACACCAGCTGCTGGTGCCAAGATGACTTGATTTTTAAGACTATTATGTAATTGCTCTGTTCACTGATTCATTAAATGATTTACTCTTCGATGTGCAGGAAATTTCTTCCTAACATCTGATCTATTTCCGTTTTATTTCCACAGTACTAAACATTGGCAAAAAGCTCTATGAGGGAAAAACGAAAGAAGTCTATGAACTGTTAGATAGTCCAGGGAAGGTGCTCCTGCAGTCCAAGGACCAGATTACAGCGGGTAATGCAGCTAGGAAGAATCACCTGGAAGGAAAAGCTGCAATTTCAAATAAAACTACGAGCTGTATTTTTCAGTTGTTACAGGAAGCAGGTAAGTGGCTCCTTCTCCTCCCCCTCTGTCTCCTGCACAGTGATCTCTCTAATGGGATGTTGGCATTATTTGGATTAGCAATATCTTTGGGGGTGTCTTTCCAAGTAAGTTCATTTAAATCAAACCCAGAAATCTTACATCTCACTATGATATTTTACTTTGTTTGAAATTAGTAGGGGTTTTTTTTCCAGCTTGCTACAGGCTGTATATACTCGTCAGAGAAGTGGGGAGAGAGAGAGAGAGAACGTCCCCAGGGAGGGTGGCCATGCTGCAGTCCCTTGTCCTCTCAGGATTTGGGTCACACACACACTCTTGTGTCAGGTGTGATTCTTAAGCCACTAGGTCCAGGACTCCAATATGTGGTCATCCACATGGTTTTTGCTATTGGGTATGTGCATTCAACAGAGACAGAGAGAGGTAAAGTGAGAAACCACCCCTCAGGGGAGATGGCTGCACTGCAGTCCCTTCTTTATTGTCTTGGAATTTGGGGCATGCACGCACGTGCACCTGGCGTGATTTTCAAACTGCTGAGTTTGGGACTTGAACCATGGGGTCCAACTATGGAAAAACCTTGTTTATGTGGAATCGTAAGTATTTGTACTTTTGTATCTTTTGAAATTTGGTCTTGATTTTTATTCATGATAGTGCACACATGCA